TTAATTATGTATATGTGTGTGTTGTGGGGGGGGGTACACATGAGTACCAGTGACCTTAGAGACCAGAAACATTGAATCCCGTTGAAATGGAGTAACAGGTGGTTGTGAGGCATCCTATATGGGTTCTGGGAATTGAACCCTGATCCTCTGCAAGAGCAGTATGTGCTCTTAACAGTTGAGCCATCTTTCCAGCTCATGACGTATGGCCTTAACTTATCAGACAGCAATCCTATTCAACTTACCTCAGGACCACACAATAGACCTCCTTATTAAAAAATAGTAAAAATAAAAGTTTCTTAGCCACCTATTGAGAGTCCATTGGGAGTCATATGTATGGCTTCTGCCGAGACACTTAAGCATCATTCTTTCTTATGAAGCCCATGCCCATAAGTTCAGTGTGTGGACTAGCCTTTCTCTGAGCACCTTCCTTCCTTCCTTCCTTTTTTTTTAAAGATTTTATTATGTATACAACATTCTGCTTCCATGTATATCTGCACACCAGAGGAAGGCACCAGATCTCATAACGGATGGTTGTGAGCCACCATGTGGTTTCTGGGAATTGAACTCACGACCTCTGGAAGAGCAGTCGGTGCTCTTAACCTCTGAGCCATCTCTCCAGCCTGCACCTTTCTTTTTTAAAAATAATTTATTTAACTTTATTTTATGTGCATGAAGGTATCAGAACACCTGGTTCAGAGCAAGTCAAGAACTTTGTAATTTAGTGGTTCGTGGTTTGAAAGACTGCCTATATTTTTTTTCCTTTTTTAAAAAAAAATTAAACTTAACAACCCTCGACTGGCGGTGGTGGCACATGCCTTTAGTCCCAGCATTCGGGAAGGCAGAGGCAGGCAGATCTCTGTGAGTTTGAGACCAGCCTGGTCTACAAGAGCTAGTTCCAGGACAGCCTCCAAAAGCCACAGAGAAACCCTTTCTCGAAACAACAACAATAATAAAAAGACAAAAACTAAAACAAACCAAACAAACAAACAAAAACCCTCTCCAGTTGTCAAGACAAACAAACAAAAAGGTATCAATTTTGGCTGAAGACTTAACTCTCTATGTAGCTCAGGCTGGCCTTAACTCAGAGAACCATCCCACAGAATGGAGAAGTTATGGATTCTTTGAATGCTTGCCAGGCCATAAAATTCACTGCCCACTACTGAAAGAGCATGAAAGGAGAGGAGGAAGGAGGAAGCCCATGCTTTCTGGCCTGAGGATCATAAGCAGGAGAAAGTAAGAGAAAAGGGGGAACAGAAGAGTGCTGCTTTTAAAACATTTATCAGTGAGTGCATGTAGAAATTTTAAAATTATTTTTAGGATTTCTAAGTGTGTGTGTGTGTGTGTGTGTGTGTGTGTGTGTGTGTGTCCATGTGCGTGTGCTATGGAGGCCAAAGTTGATACCTTTTTGTTTGTTTGTCTTGAGACAGGGTTTCTCTGTAGCTTTGAAGCCTGTCCTGGAACATGCTCTGTAAACTAGGCTGGCCTTGAACTCACAGAGATTGCCTGCCGCTGCCTCTGCCCCTGTCTCT